TTCTGTAAACCTATTGGCAGCAGGCATTTCATAATCTGTCTTCCTGTGCATCACTAAACAAAAACAAATTAAATATCTGTACTGTGATCAAAAGGTTTTAATGTAGATAAATTCGGATTTGGATTTCAAAACTAATGCAGATAGACGTGGGTCACTTCTGAGAAGGTTTTTTTTTTACTAAGTATGAGAGGAGTAATAGGATGCCAGGGACAAACCCTTTAGTGTTAATGAATAAAATGTTTATATTGTTAGGGTTATGGCAAACAGAATAAACACATTCAAACAATTAGATAAGATTTAACTTCAGAATAATCAGGATCAAAATGGTTACTTCAGAAGTTTCAATTCATTCATGGGATTTGGGCATAGCTTGCTATGACAGCAGAGGGTAGTTAAGAGTCAACCACATTGCTCTGAGTCTGGAGTCACATATGCCAGATCAGATAAAGATGCAGATTTTATTTCCTAAAGGGCACGAGTTAACAAGTGGGTTTTTACAATAATCGACAATGGTTACATGGTCACCATTATGTCAGCTTTTCATTCCAATTTTTCTTTATTAAATTCAAATTCCACTCTCTGCCATGGTGGGATGTGAACACTTGTTCCAAGAAATATAACTAGCTCATTATTCCACTGACATGGCCACTACACCAACCAACTCCCCAAGAGAGTAGTTTGTCCTAGTGAGGAAATCTGTTTTTTTTCACAATTCAGTTCAGGGGAACCAATCATTTCAGAAGTGTTGGGTTTCTAGAAATTGCGCAGCCTCCAAGTCAGGAGAGTTTGTATAGAAGCCAAAATCAGAAGCGCTTGAGAAACTCAGGTCGAGCAGCACCTGTGGAGAGAAAAACAGAATTAACATTGAGTCCAAAGACCTCGAATCTGAACTGGATTTCTGCCTACGGCTGCCCTCTCCTCGGTCCACACTCCTGTACCATAACACACTGCTCCTTTGACAACTCCTTAACCTGCATGCATTTATTTAGAGGTTGGCTGCTCTTCCAATTGCAAATTGTTTACCTTCCATGTCTGTTGCCAATAGGGTCACCATGAGCCCATCAGTAGAAAGTGTACAAGTTAACCAGTCTATTATTTAGGAGCAGATCCTCAACATTTCACTCCTCTATTTCTTGGCGTGACTTTTCTTGGATTGGCCACACCAGAGAGTGAATTGTTCTGAGAAAATGGGGATTTCAGGGACAGAATCACCTGTTGCCCCCATGTACTCCAAGCGTCACTAAGCAGGTATTCAGATAAACCATTAAACTTTTTTAAAAATCAACTTGAAAAAAAACTTTGACAGCAATTAAATGACAGGTTGAAATTTGAGGCTCAAAATTCTAAAGATCATTGATGAAAATAAGGGCAAAAACATCTGCTATCATGAGGTTTTCTGAAACAAAACAGAGCCAAAAGGAGATACCACAACAAGTCTTGATTCTAACAGTGATGAAAGCATTGGTTGGTTAACAAGTGCAAGTTGGAAGAGAAAGAATGGCATTAAACAGTAGAAACGAAATTTAGAGAGCACGACAAAACTTGTTCGAAATCACAAAAAAGCAATATTGATCTCATTTTGAACAATATTCTGGTGTCCTGTCCAAGTTGAAGCCCATGGGATACAAGGGACAGTGGCAACACAGATGAAGAATTGAGGACAAAAGAGTCATTTTTATTGAGATTCTTTCAGAAGGGAAGATATGCAGCAGTATTCCCCAGGGGTTCGTACTTAGATACTGCTTCTTTTGATACATATTGATGACTCAAGACTTGGGTTGATAAGACATGTTCAAAATTTGCAGAAGACAACAAGTTTGAAATATTCTTAACTGTGAGGATAATAATACACTTCTAGAGGACACAGGCTGGTGGAATGCATTGATACATAACTTCATATTTTACTGCACTAAATTTCATGTATTTTGGTACAAAAAAAAAGCCAACAAATATAAAGTTTAGAATTCTAAGGGAGTGCAGAACTGAAGCCCAAGCATGTGTGTACACAAGTTGTTGAGGGTGGAACAGCAAGCTGACAAGTGGTTATACAAAGCATATGACATCCTGGGATTTGTACAGTACAAACCAGAAGGAAGTTCTGTTGAACTTTTATAAAGCACAAGTTTAGCGTGAAATGGAGCACTGTCCCCAGTTCTGTGCACTAACTTTAACAAAGGTTTAGAGAGGGTGCAGAAAGAACTTAGTGGACAATTTGAGGAACAAGGGACTGCAGTTACATGACAGATTAAAGAAGCTGGGGCTGTTCTTAGATCAGACAAAGTTGACAGGAGATTTGACACAAATATTCCAACTCATGACGAGTCGAGGGCGAGTGAGAGGGCACACATTGGTGGAAGCACTGAGAAACAAAGTACAATAACTTAAGGCCACTGGCAAAACAACCAATGGCATACAAGAGGACACATCTTTCTACTGCGTGTTATGGAATTGGACCGCACTACCCTCAAGTATGGTGGAGTAGAAACAACGATGGCTTTTAAAAGCCACCAAGTTAAGCATACAGAAATAAAGCAAATTTTTGCAAGGTTACAGGGAAACAGCAGGAGTTCAACTAGATGAGTTGTCTTCTGAGAGATGCAACACAGACAAATTGACCAAAACACCTCCTCTGTGCTCTAAATATTCAATGATTCTGATAAGATGGCAATATTGATATTTGGTGGGAAAATCACGTCCCAGTTCTTGACAGTTAGAAATTCCCCACTGAGGTGATTGCTGACTGGTTTATAATCTTGAGGATAAATTCTCACATTCAGCTTTCATACAATAATTTTATTACACCCTTCTCATAGATAAATTGAGTCACTGAACTGAATTGTGGACAATTTCCTAAGTAACTGGTGAACTCAAATTGTACAGTGTATCATTCAAAAAAACAACGTAATATTTAAAACTGTCTTTTGTTCCCTTTAATAAGAAACTCAATGTTGGGAAATAGAATGCACAACCAGGCTAGGGTTCGGCAATGAAACAAATTACCAGAACTAGTCCAATCAAATTTTCAAACAACAATCCCAAATTTTATTTATTACTAATTCAACAAGTTCTTCTTTTAAAACTTGGCATCATTTCTGTTCCACAATTCTCATTGGAAAACTATACCACATGCAAACAATCTAACTAAAAAAATCAATGCTTTGATACCATTAACCTGAAACACTTTCCCTAATCCTCAAATCTAGTGGTTGAATAGAGATGCTTCTCAATTTCTAACTTCTTTATTAACCCCAAAAAATGCATTGAAAATTTTCTGAAGTATCTTCTATTTATCGTGTTTCTCCAAACAGATTAGCTTTCCTTTAAACTCAACTCTCTAAATTTAAAATATAAGACAAATACAGTTATGTTCAAGTGAACAACTGATCAGTCACTGACTCTCACAAATACCTTGTTTCCCATATCTACATTGTTACCCCTTTACAGAACTGTGTTCCATTCTCACAGTTTCTCAAAGATTACTGCATCTGTTCAAACAATGCAGCTTCCAATATCAATAAATCAGTGTTCTTCTTCAACTGACTGTTCTCTCCCACCCCAAAAACTCACTGTATTTGACATGGCTCTCAACCACATCTGTCCTACGTCATGCACTGGTGCTTCATTTTACCCTCCCTCTCACAACAGTAATTCGATTCCCATTGCCCTGTTTCTACCACACCACCTACCTCCTATTCAGCAGATCATCCTCTAAAATTTGCAGCCTCCAGTATAATGCCATCACCAAAACATCTTTTCCTTCCATTGCAACATACTGAACTTCCTCCACAACACCCTGATCAACTCTTCAACATCTCCAAACCATGGCCTTCCCGAGCGCACCTTTGAGAGAACATACAGGTGACATAACATATGCCTTCTTCGTTATTCACAGTATCTCACACACTTGCCAGGTGATTCTGTGATTTACCTGCATCTTTTTCAAGTTAGTAAACGATATGAATTACTCAGAATTTGATTCTTCTGTAATTAGGAAACCAATGACAGACTGGGTGACTGCATTACAGAACACCTCCATTCAATAGGCCTGACACCAAGTTTCACGTCATGTTAATTCCAAATGTTGCTCCCTTCTGATCTCTGCCCTTGACCTCCTAAAGTGGTCTGACAAAGTCCAAGCAACAGTACTTCACCTTTCGACTGAACACTTTACAGCATCCTGGAATGCATATC